CTGGAAAGCAATATGGTGCTTCCTCAGAGGTTGGAAATAGAAATACCTTATGATCCAGCAATTCCTCTACTTGGTATTTACCCACAAGAAATACGAACCATAACACGAGTAGATACATGCACACCAATATTCATAGCAGCATTATTTACAATATCCAAAAGATGGAGACAGCCTAAGTGCCCATCTATTGAAGAATGGATAAACAAACTCTGGTACATACACACAGTGGAATATTATGCTACCTTGAAGAATAGCAAAGAAGCTGCAAGCCACTGCATAACATGGATGAACCTTGAGGACATTTTGTTGAGTGAAATGTCAGTCACAAAAGGAGAAATACACATAGGACTACTATTGTAAAAGACTAAGGGAAAAAAAGAAGATTCTCTTTGTTTTTTCTAGGTAGCCACAAAAACTGGAAATAATGTTAGCACTTTTCTTTTTCATAGTCTTATTCCTTTTTCTGTACCGCTTAGGATTTGTTGTTGTTGTTGTTGTTGTTATGTGCTGTGGAGTCGGTTCCGACTCATAGTGACCCTCTGTAGGATTTCCGAGGCTATAAATCTTTATGGGAGCAGAAGGTCTCATCTTTCTCACGCGGAACACTTGGTATTTTCTAACTGCTGACCCTGAGGTTCGCAGCCCAATTCGTAACCACTACGCTACCAATGCATAGGATAGGTCTTGAATATCATGGTAGATTTCAGTAATCATAGAATTTTTTGTTTTTGTTTTTGAATTTGATGTAGGATTTCTAGTAAATCCTTTTGCAAAACTGAAGAAATACACTCCTGGTTCTAGTTTATGAATGGTTTTTATGAGTTACAAGTGTTGAAGTGTATTGAAAACATTTTTAACATTTGTTCATGTATTTGTGCTTGTCCCCTCATCTATATATGTACTGAATTACATGAAAATAACACATTTTAGTTAATGAACCTTCCTAGCATTTCTACCTGAAATAGGATATTTTGTTAGTGTAGTATGACTCAGTATACCACTTTGTTCAATTTGTTTATTTGTTAAGGTTTTTAAATCCTGTTTCTCACTCAGAGTCAAAAATTATGAAATTTCCTATGTTAGTCTTCTATGCAAGCATTAAGAAAATCTATTATTCATTTTGGTTGGTTATTACAGTATGCTCTCCTTGTAGAATAAGATGGAAGTTATTCATATATTTCTGTGTTCCTTGAGCCTTTAAATAACATGTTGTTATTGTTAAATGCTGTCAAGTCGGTTCTGACTCATAATGACCCCAATGGGGTTTCTAAGGAGTGACTGGTGGGTTTGAACTGCCACCCTGTGGTTAACAGTCCGGTGATTATCCTACAGAGCCACACCAGGACTCCTTAAATATCATGTTGTTGTTGTTAAGTACCATTGAGTCTGTTCCGACCCCAAGCAACCCTGTATAGGGTTTCTAAGGTATGGCTGGTGAACTGGAACCATCCACATTGTGGTTAAAACTGACATTGTAGTCCAGCACATTAACCCAGACCCCAACTTATGTAACGAATGATCTATTCTTTGAACTGTCTCCACCTGCAAGCATAAGGAAGCTTTCCCAGCTTCTTGAGTTCTGAGCAGCATAGCCTTACCCGTCCTCTCCTAAGGACACACAACATACCACCTGTGGGGAAATGCACCCTCTTCCTGGAGGTCCCAGGGAAGTGTACATTAGGGTGTTGCTTCAGGTCCAGCAGTGTCAAATCATCTCTGTCCTTGTCTCCTGACTCTGAAGTACCCTACCTTCTCCAGAAGCAGTAGTAGTTTGCTTGTGTGGTTTTCTCAAGAAAACTTATTGGGAGGGAACATCCATCTGCTATTATGGATTTAATTATGTTTATACAGTATATACCAGCTGCTCCGCGGGAGAAAGATGAGGCTTTCTACTCCCGTAAAGATTTACACCCTCGGAAACCCTATACAGGGTCGCTATGGGTCGGAACCGACTCGATGGCACATAACAACAACAACACAACAATACAGTATATGTTCTAGTCTTCTCTAAGTTCTTGGGCATGAGAAACAGGAAATGTGCTTAAGGTTCATTTTGATCATAGTGTTTGAAAGTACTTTGTTTTTTAAAATGATTTATTTTAAAAATAGCCAAGCTTCACTGGTGGTCATATATTAAAATAACTTTTACTTGTGATAAAGAGAGTGTTAGTTTCTGATATTGTGGGAACTGTGTATGATATACATTGCCCATTGGAAGGTAGCCCATTATATATGTCTAAAAGGTTTGAAAACTACTAATTTAAATATGATAGTGAAAATCAGTAGAAAAATAGGATTATGCTTATAAATATTTATATTTTATCTGTGCTCTTGTGCTGTATAGCTAAACTAGAAATTGATCTCTCTTTGGATTTAAATTTATTTCAGAATCTTAACAAAACTTCTGGAGGTGTCAGATGATCCACAAGTTTTAGCTGTTGCTGCTCATGATGTTGGAGAATATGTACGGCATTATCCACGAGGCAAACGGTATAAGAAAAAACATTGATTTCATTTGAATTTTCTGAAACCTTCAACTTAAAATCCTAGATAATGTTATTTCCTAAAGTAGAATAGTTTAGCAAGGGAATTTATGAAATTAATCAAATTAAGCTTATAATAATACTGGGAATTATGGTACACCTAATTCAAAATGGGTTGTGTAAAAATATAATTACATTTGTAAAATCTTTGGAAACCATATACAGGCTTGCTGTGAATTGGAACTGACTCAATAACACTTAATAAAAACAACAGCAACTGTAGAGTAGCCAACAGAGACCTACTGGAAATTTCATGTTAAAGATTTTCTTTGGTTTGTATGGTTTAATTCAATAGTCATTTTGTGAGCACTGGTTATTTTTCAACTACTGTTGTGCCACTATAGGTTAAGCACTGGGCTGTTAACCACAAGGTTGGTGGTTCAAATCCCCCAGCAGTTCCTTGGGAAACCTATACAGCAGGGGTGGAGAACCATTTTTCTGAAAAGATTTATAACATCATTTGCAAGCCCTACCAAATTATCAACTTAAAACTTAGTCTGAGATTCTTATGGGACAACATGAAGAGCAATAACTTATGGGTGGTTGGAATTCCAGAACAGGAAGAGGCAAAGAAAACCACAGAAGAGATAGTTGAAGAGCTGCTGGAAGAAATTTTCTATAACATCATGTAAGATGAATAAATAGTTGGACAGTATGGCCTTGGTGATAGAAATGATGCCAGAGATTGCATGATAGAATTTTGTAAGACCAACAACTTCTTCATTGCAAATACCTTTTAAAACAACATAAAAGGTGACTGTACACATGGACTTCACCAGATGGCACATGCAGTAGATTGTGTATACCTGTGGGAAGAGATGTTTGAAAAGCTTAAAATTGTCAGTTGAAACAAGGCAGGGGCAAACTTCGGAACAGACCATCAGTTGCTCATATGCAGGTTAAGGCTGAAGCTGAAAAAATTAAAACAAGTCCATGAGAGCCAAAATATGACCTTGAATATATCTCACCTGGAGTTATATACCATCTCAAGAACAGATTTGATGCATTAGACACTAAAGACCAAGGACAGAAACATCATACAGGAAGAAAGCATAGCAAAAAAAAAAAAAGGACCAAAATGAATGTTAGAAGAAACTCTGAAGCTTGTTTTTGAGCATACAGAAGCTAAAGCAAATGAAAAAGAATGAGGCAAAAGAGCTGAATAGAAAATTTCAAAGAGCGACTCAAGAAGACAGCGTAAAATATTATAATGAAAGACAGGGAGTTAGAAAATCAAAAGGGAAGAATACGCTCAGCATTTCTCAACTTGAAAGAACTGAAGAAAAAATTCAAGCTTTGACTTGTAATATAGGAAGATTCTGTGGGCAAAATGTTTAATGATGTAGAAAGCATCAAAAGAATATGGAAGGAATATACAAAGTCACTGTACCAACAAGAAATGGTTGATGTTTACCTCTTTCAAGAGGTGGTATGCTATAGGATCAAGAATCAATGGTACAGAAGGAACAAGTCCAAGTTGCTATGAAGGCATTGGCGTAAAACAAGGCTCCAGGAATAGACAGAATACAAATTGACAAATTTCATCAAACTGAGGCACATGCATCTATGCCAAGAAATTAAGACAATTACCTGGCTAACTTATTACAAGAGATCCATATTTATACCCATTCCAAAGAGAGATGACCAAATGGAATGCGGAATATATTGGACAATACCATTAATATCACATGCAAATAAGACTTTGCTAAAAATAATTTTTAAATGGCTGTAGCAGTACATTGACAGGTAACGGCCAGAGGTTTAAACGTTTGGGTATTCCAGAACAATGAATTGTGCTCATGAGGAACCTGTACATAAACCAAAAGGCAGGTGTTAGAACAGAACACGGGGATACCGAATGGTTTAAAGTCAGGAAAGGTGTGCACCTTGGTTCTATCCTTTCATCATACTTACTCAATCTGTATGCTGAGCACGTAATCCAAGAAGCTGGATTATATGAAGAGAAATGTGGCATCAGGCTCGAAGGAAGTCTCATTGCAACCTGTGATATGTGGACGGTACAACTTTGCTTGCTGAAATAGAAGAGGACTTAAAATATTTGCTAATAAAGATCAAAGACCACTGCCTTCAGTGTGGGTTACAACCCAATCTAAAGAAAACAAATATCTTCACAACGAGACCAGTAAATAATGTCATGAGAAGTGGAGAAAAGATGAAAGTTGTCAGGTGCTTCAATTTCCATTGATTCACAGTCAATGCTCATGGAAGCAACAGTCAAGATATCAAAAGACATATTACAACAGGCAAAAAATCTGCACAATACCTGTTTAAAGTGTTCAAGAGCAAAGACATGAGTTTGAGGACTAAGGTACGCATGACCCAAGCTAAGTAATTTTCAGTTGTCTCATATGCATGTGAAATTTGGACAGTGAATGAGGAAGACCTTTGAAGAATTGAAGGACGATACTAAAAGAACCATATATTAAAAGTATCATGAAATTCCAGAAAAAAAAAAAATTGTCTTTGAAAAAGTATAGCCAGAATCCTTCCTAGAAGCGAAGATGATGAGACTTCATCTGCTGTAAGACATGTTCTCAGGAGGGACCAGTCCCTGGGAAGAACATCATGCTTGCTAAAGTGGAAGGTCAACAAAAAAGAGGAAGAGCCCAACCAGATGGATTGACAAAGAGGTAGCAGCAATAGGCTCAAATGTAATAAGCAATTGTGAGCATGGCTCAGGACTGAGCAGGGTTTCATTCTTAAGTGCCTAGGATTGCTATGAGATGGACCCGACTTGACAGCACCTAGCTATATCAACAATACTCTGTTGATCTGTAGTGTTTACTCCAAATGAAGGACTACTCCACTCCCATCCAGAGACAAAATGGAATCCATATACTGGAAGTTAAGAATGCCACTTGGCCACTTTGGACTTCTCATGCTCTGGATAAATAGGCAAAGATAGGAGTTACTATATTGGCTGATACGATTGATCCTAATTTTCAAGGAAAATCAGATTGACACTACATAATGGAGGTAAAGAAGTATCTGTCTGGAATACTGAAGATTCCTTAGAATATCTCCAAGTACTAGAGTGTCCTGTGATTAAAGGCAATGGAAAACTACAGCAACCCAATTCCAACATGACTACTAATGGTCCAGAGTAATCTGAAATGACGGTTTGGGTCACCCCACCAAACAAATTACTGTGACCAGCTGAGGTGTTTGTTGAGGGCAAAGGGAATATGAAACAGGTGGTAGAAGAAGGTAATTCTAAATGATCACTTGACTAGTTACAGAAACAAGGACTAATTATTATTTCTTCCTTGTGTATGTGCATCAGTGGTTTTTTTGTATTTATGAAATAAATAAGTGATGTAAACAGGGCTAGTGTGTTTTCAATTGTACATGTTATTTGTATCATGCTAGATACAAGTAACACTTTATATTGATATTTATTTAGAGATTAGGTGTGGTTTAAGGAGATGTGTACAACAGTTGCCTAGTGGACTGTGATGGTTAAGGGTGTATGTTAACTTGCTGGGTCAGGATTGTCAGTGATTTGGCTGTTGTGAAGTGGCCATCCCTCATAATGAAATTTAATCACTTCCTTGATGTGTTCTGCTGTGAGTAGCCAGTTGATTGAAAGATGTTTTCTCAAGGTGTTGTTGTTGTTATGTGCCATGGAGTCAGTTCTGACTCAGAGCAACCCTGAATAGGGTTTCCGAGGCTGTAAATCTTTACGGGAGCAGAAAGCCTCATCCTTCTCCCATGGAACAGCTGGTAGTTTTGAACTGTTGACCTTCAGCTCACAGCCTGATTCATAGTCACTACGCTACCAGCTGCTTATAATAAATATGGACTTTCTTATAATGTTTGCTTACTTTTTTCTGGATCTGGATCCTACATCTGGCTTGTCATCATCTTTCCCCTGGTTCTTTGACTTGAGCCAACAACATACTGTATTGCCTCATGATCCTGGGAGTTGGTATCAGCCTGTGAGTCAGCTTCCTGCCATTTTTACCTATTAGCCTTAGATTCATTCGCCTTTTCAGTCAGCATCCTGCCAAATGATATACCTATCTTGGGTTCATTAGCCTGTGCATCTATGTGAGTCAGGAGAAGCCTCCAGCCTGACATCTGGCCCATGGACTTGGAATTTTCCAGCCTCTTCAGTTGCATGAGCCATTTTCTTGAAATAAATCCATCTCTCTATATATGGAAATCTGGTGTGACTCTGTGGGTTAATGCTCTGAACTGCAAAGTTAGTTTGAACTTCAAGGTCAGCAGTTCAAGCTTACCAGATGTTCCCTGGACACCCTGTACAGAGTCGCTGTGGGTCAGAACCAACTCGATGGCATTTAATAGAGAGAGAGAGCGAGAGAGCGTGTAGGCTAATGTGCTGGACTGCAAAGTCGTTTGAGCCACAAGATTGGTGGTTCAAGCTCACCAGCTGCTCCTTGGAAACCTTATATAGGGTCTCTATGGGTCGGAAATGACTCGACAGCACTTAACAACATATATATGTGTGTGTGCATGTGTGTGTGTATATATATATATATATACTTTACTGCTTTTGTTTCTCTGAATAATCCAGAAGACTAAGACAATGAGAAAGGAGAAAGTAAATGGAGGCCAAGGTAGAAAGTTTGGTGATAAGCCCAACATTGAAGAAGTTTGTGTATATCACAAGGTGTATGACCTTCTCAATACTGAGCCTCAGGACAGTAGCTCTGGGCCTTTGTGGAGGGAGAAAAAGGAGTGGAGATGTATGTGTCTATACCTGCTTTCAAACTCACCACTTGTGGTAGTATTTATTTCTTGGGGGGAGGAATAAGGGCAAGTGGCATATGGGGTGGCGAATGTATAGTGGAAGGCAACAATGGGCAAGAAGCATTCCTGCCAACCCTCTTTCAAGTAGCTGTATGTATACTTACATGAGGTTGATAGTTTGAATATGTAGTTTGTGGTGAAATAATACAACTT